GGTTGCGTTCTAAACCACGGTCGAAATATCTCTCGTTCCACCTCGATCCGACTTACCATTCGAGTTTTACGATAAAAACCGTAAAACTTCGTTTTCTCGGAAAGAACTCGAGGAAATCATATAAAACGGCAACGGTTAAACGAAACACCGAACATTGCCTAAACTATACGATTTATTCGAGATTTCTCGTTAAAATCGTAAAAAACGCGCTTTTAATAAAAAACGCCGAGAAAGTCGTAAAAACGTGTTTTTAATAAAAAAGTCGAGTAAATCGTAAAACTTCGCGATTAACTCGAGAAATTTATTAAAACGATGTCGGATCAGGAAACGATCCCGTAAAAAGTCGGAAAACGGTTTTTATCGCAAAACGGCCCGGGAGGACCTAAAACGCGATAAAAACCCGTCTCGCGATTTTAACGGGATCTAACCCGCAGATTTGATAACGTTTTGACGGTTTACTCGCAGAAAGCAAATAAAATTCAAGTTTGAACATAAAAGGAAGGTTTAAAGAGAAATAGAAGATTTCCGCAGAAGAAAAGGAAGGATCGAGAAGAATGGAAAATTCCCGATTTAAGTCAAATCTGGGCGAAATGGAAAGATTGGATTGCCAAGACGAGGAGTATATAAAGAGGAGGTCTAGGGCAGAAGCATGGAGACACGAAATTCAGAGCTCTCACCACCAAAACTAGCATTTAGGAATATTTCCGTTTTTCTGTTAGCAAACTGCGTCTCAATTAGGGTTTTCTAGTTCTTACGCTTTCGGCAATTCTTTTTGTACCAGTTCAACGCAGATTCGGAATAAGAACCTTTTTGCTCTCTATTTTCATTTATTCTCATTTAAATTCTAAGTATTTTCGTCATCTTATTTTCGTTGTGCGGTTCTCGCAGATAGCCGGTTCCTCTGGAAACTTAGGGTTTTCCCGAAGTTTCCTTATTTACGATTTATTTGACAGTAGGGTGAAATCGACTCCCACAGTTTGGCGCTAGAAGGAGGGGGGGTCGGATCTATCTTACACTGTAACCGCAACATGACCAACGAAGAAACGATGGCTGGTGACAACTAAACTCGCGACGAACGCGACAACGTTGAAACACCACTACCAAAAGACGCGCCTGCGGCCAACGCTACAAACGCTAACGCCGAGACCGTCGAAAAGATGCTTTCCGAGTTTAACAAGAAATCGGAAGAGCAGGAAAAGCTCATTGGTTCACTCGCAAAACGGCTCGAAACCCTAACTGCGAGAACCAAAGCAATTCGCCC